CTTTGGCTGGAACCTCTGCTACAATAGCAAAAGCAACATCATATAGACTTATATACTGTTTCATATTGTTTTACAGCATTCTTTAAGTGGTTTACCGAGTTGGCATATTGCCTCCAGCAATCTGGATCCTCATTTTACTGACCTCAGAAGGATGGAAGGCTGAGTCAACCTTGAGCTGGTGAGAATCAAACTCCTGGCGGTCAGCAGAATTATCCTGCAATACTGCATTCTAACCACTGCATCCCCATGGCTCATCATATACAGTATATCCTTTTCTGGTCAAGGATGGCTTAGCTACCATTAGATCTCAAATGCTCTTTCTTCCATCTTAACAATAGTCAATAGTTATAGAGTTAGTGGATATGTTTGAAAGGGCAGGGTGTCTGCAATTTGTTCTGAAGCCTGTTGGGGAGAGAAATAACAGTATCGTAGCTCTGGACTCTCGTGGGTGGAGTGATATGGCAGGCAGCATCAGCCAGATCAAGGCTGCAAAAGTTTCCCTGAGTCGCTTTGAATCATTAGATAGGAGCATAAAGTTTCTGGTATCTTTTGCTACCATCTGATGGTTCTCCTGGTCAGAGTGAGTTTAGCATGGCCTCTGTAACCTGTTTTCCTTTCCTGCTTCCATTGTGTTGCTCTTGACTTTGCAGCAGACAATCCTACTTCCTCCTTCCCCTCCTCCTCCTTTCTGGAATACCACATACTCCCCCCCCCCCAATGTTTTATTTTCCTCCTGGTGAATTTCTCTGCATCTTCACCATATTCCCAGCACTGCTAATAATTCTTATTCATGTGCTGTAATGTAATAAGCAGAAGAGTCATATACTGTGCTGCTATCTTGTGGTCATCCAGATATTTGCAATCCAGACAATAGCGTTAGTTGAAACAATTGCATGCACCTCCACTTAGCAATTGAAGGCTTTATTAAGGGCATATAAACCTCTAAACAATACAGAAAACAGGCTAGCTAGGAATCCCCCCCTCAGCTATACATTTGAATGATTTGGATAATCACCCAGAGAGATTTATTGTGGGAATTACACAAATGAGTGTTTTCAGTAGTGGTGCCAGCTCTCTGGCATACTGCCTCCAGAGTTTGGAGGGTTGATGAGAATTACTGTATATTTCTTTTGTATTTTTTTAAAGAAAGAATTTCTCAGTGTTTAGAATTTCTCAGTTTTCTTCTTCCTCGTCATTTCTGTAATTATTTCTGATAGAGAAGAATATTTGTAGCTCTGGGTTGAAATGAGGGATCCTTGATGCTCCCTGAGCTTGATTGCTTTCTTGCAGATGTTTTATTACCCAAACTAGGTAACAGCATCCGTACATCAATGTTACGATTTCAGAAAAGCTTTTGCTTCTAAGCATTTATTTATTTAATTAATTTATTTATTTATTCCATTTATATATATAAATTTATATAAATTTAATTAATAATAATAATATATGCCGCCCCTCTCCGAAGACCCAAGGCGGCTCACAATACATTGGCTTTTTAAACGGTGCTTACAAGCGCCCTTGAGTAAGGGCTATGCCTGCAATTATAAATTTTGTTTATTAATGCTATCCCACAATTCCTTAAATTCTTTTTAAAAGATTGAGAGATTTTGGCAATATCCATTATTATGTAAAAGGTTAATACACTGAATAGTTAAAGATGGCCTTTATATGAAATGTGTTCTGAACGGAAAACAAATTTTCTCTTGAACAGTTTCATAGTCACTGCAAAGTCAGAGTCATTGTTTTCCTGCATCCTAAATGTTCAGCAACAAAACAGATTCTTGTTATTTTACTCCGTTATATAAAAACAAAAAAAATGTTTTTACAGTGTGAGAAAACACAACTTGTTGTTACAATTCTCTGTAATATTGAGATGAACAGACTATTTGCTATGCAACATATCTACTGCAGCACAAAGAAGCATAATTGTACCAAATAGTGATACAGATAGAGTAATTTCAAGCCTCCAAAAGTCAAAACTCTGGAGGTAGAAAAATACCTCAAAGAAGGTTAATATAGTCAAATTCCCTTGCAGAACAATGTATTGACCTATCAGGAACCAAAGAAAATCTTCTAACTACAGTTGTCTAGTTTCTTATTGAGCTAATTGTTGTTACTGGAAAAACTTTCACAATAAAGATTTGAGAATAAAATTATCTTCTTTTTCTCTCCTCTCAAACTATGGATTTTCCAAAAGTGGTTGGCTGATTCAAACATGCCTGTCATCCCTTGATGGTTCCCAGCACAAGCCGACTCCACCTTAAACCATGATACATTTGAGGTGAGATGGAAATTCTGCCTCTGATGTTCAAACAGCTTGATCTATACTGCAATTAAAACGCAAGGGCTTGGATATTAGTTTGATGACCTTTTTATATCTGGCTGTCTGGATCATATATAAATGCACATATATAGGGCACAGTGGGATGTTTACTCAGGTATGTGTGAATGAGATATTGCAGTAATTATATGAAGTCAACAAACTTACGTTTTTGATTCATTCAAAGTTCTGTTTAAACACTTTGTGGGACAGAAACATTGAGATATATTCTGAACAGAATATTTATTTATCATCTCATCCATTTTAAAGACCAGGCATAGTGCATTCTCAGATAAAAAGGTATTTTATGTAAATCAAGAAAATAAAATACTAAAGCAGAGATGCCAGAGTTTATATTCTTGGGATATATTTGGTTTTCAGTAGAGATGTTTAATTGAGTTTTGTGGCTGCAATCTTAGTCTTTTCAAGTTCAAAAACAATGATTCCCTAGAATAATCTTGTGGTTAACTAACGACCAGAGCTTCATAAATAAGGAGCATAAACCCCCTGTTGGGATCAAGTTATTAACTGGAGATGGGCAGGGGTTAATACATCAATATATTTTCCAAGTCAGATCCGAATGGCTATACTCAATTCCACCATAAAACAAGAGGAGGTAGTAGATGCAGTCATGATTTTATGTTCTGCACTGAGAGTCTCATCACAGCTATTGCATTACTGTAAAACTGAGGAAAGAATTTTTTATCTTAGTTGGATTATTTGGAGGGGAATGGGTGGGTCTTTTGAAACCAGATATTTCCCCCTTCCAAGTTAAGACTGCCATTTGGTCATTATCCTTGTTGTAAAACCTGGATATTGAGATCGTGATAATTAATCAAAATATTATCTTGGGATTTGGAAAGAGTTCAGCTAATATTTTGCTCCTCCCAGTGGAAAAACGCCATTCTTTCCATAAAGGGCCCATAAAGTAGTAACAATCAACAGGGCTGCTCAAACAGTTATTTCTTTGTAGCAGTTCTTTGAGAAACAAGAACTGATAAAGTTAGTCTTATAAATTCCAGGGCATTAGAAACAGGATTATAAAATACTTTTTTAAAAAGCCAACAACCAGACATTCAAAATCATGCATTAAATAGGCTTCCTTTTAAGATTTAAGCAGTGGCCTTTTAGCATGTATTATTCTTCAAATCGCTTAAAAATCAGCTACATAAAAGGGTACACATTATAGAAAATGTTTTATGTAAACTTTGGTCTTGCAAGAAACAGAAATCATTCTAAATGATCAGATGTTCATCTTAATATGGAATCTTTCTCTCTCCCCCCTCCTCCCCTCTCTTTCTCTCCCTCTCCCAGCTTTACAGTTCCAATATATCAAACATATAGCAGGCTACCAATTTCTTAAACCACTACATTTCTCTCTTTTTAAAAAGTTGCCTTTGGAATAAGTTAGTCAGGGACTATTGCATTTATTATCTTTTCCCACACACTTGGCGGTACATTTTGGATTGTGATTATCGTGTGAAAATGGTATGTCCTTTACTTTATAATAGGGGACAACTCTTGTAGCAATATTGCTCATAAATTTGGCAAATTGAAAGATACATTTCTATTGCGGCATCTTCTGATTAGAACCCACCAGATAGAGAGGATTACAGCCTCCATCATCTGTAGTCAGCACGCGCAGAAAGTTGAGGTGGGATGTTTTACTGGTAATGTAGTAAAATGATGCGTATGATACATGTAGCTATTTACTATAGAATGGATTCAATATATAATGATATAATATAATATAATAGGGCAGATTCTGTTGATGTTGTTTATACTTTTTTCAACTCTTACCAATTAATCTACTTCCATTATTCGAGCTTTTACAAAAACACATAAAGAAATTAAGAGAAATCCTGGACATGCACAAAATATGATTTTCCAATCACTGACACCCCTCCCCCGCCTTTTCTAACTTGTTTAATATTATGGTGCAGGACTTTTGTATAAAGTTGAAATCCAGAAACCTCATCTCTTAAATATTAAACCCTCTTGTTTACCTCTTTTCTCAAGAGGATTCTGGGAACAAAGTGACATTATTTTCAAAACTTCTAAAATTTATGGAAGTGTACCCATATTGCTGTCCAACGTAATGATTTTACTAGTACTCTCACATATACCAGAATGCTAACTTTATCTGCTGTTGCTTAAGTCTTTTGACACCACTTACTAGAAACACTGTAGTCTGCACATATAAATCATATGCCACATTTTTCAATTGCAGTTAAAAAAGACATTTTACTTTATTTTTAAATCATGCCATGCATGGTGCACCAACGGACTTATTGCTATATATACTTTTTTTTTAAAAAAAAAGCTAGTGAAATTGAAAGCATGCAGTCTGAGGGAAAAGCGGATATTCTGATGCACAGAAATATTGCTATTAACTTAGTTATACATAGTGCCAGAGCTCTGAAACATGGATTCACAATGCAAGGAGAAAAGGGGAAGGGAAAGTTTAGCCCGCCCGACTGAACATTGCAGGATCCTCTGGACTCCTTATCTGATTCATGCAGTATCTGGGATTAGCCACACCCTAAAAGCTGCAGGGATGGTTTCACAAAGGCCGACTTTGCAGCTAACAAACACAGTTTAAACACAGCACAGGCAATAGCAGCAGCAGCAGCAGCAGCACAGAAGAAAAGTATTAGAAGGGAAAAAAAAGTAAGCCCACCACTGGCTGGAGATCCTTGCCAGTTAGGAAGTACGAGATGAAAGCAGTCACACATCTTGGTGGATTAGGTTGGCACAGCAATAACAGAGAGAAAGAGAAGAGAGGAGAGAAGAGAAGAGACAGCTTCTCTGGTTCCTTTGAGAAAGGCTGCCTTGAAGAATCACTCCCAGTACAGAAGATAGAAGCGTTGAGTGTGTGGTTGTTTTTTTCTGGAATGCACTAAAAGTGCAGCTTGGTCGGAATCAACTGCTGACACAGTCCCCAGTCGGCAGAACAAAAAAAGACGAGCCCCAAGTGGTTCAGGTCGGCTCTGCATTGCTTACTTGCTTGTTCATAGCCTTGCAGAGCTGCTGCTTTAGGTCATTGCAGAGAAAGGGAGTGGTGCGGCGGATGCAACTCCTCCTTGCAGGGACCAGCCAAGCTGATGGAAGATTCCCAGCTGGTTCCCTCATTTTGATTGGCTGGCACTCGCTGGCTAAAGTGGCCGGCTGGATGGGCAATTTCTGTTCCTACCTATCAGGTGGGGGCTTCGGAGCAGTGGGGCTACAAGAGTTTATTCGGATGATGGGGATGGAGGGAGGGAAGCGGGGGAAGAACAGAGAGAGAGAGAGAGAGAACACAGATCATTGTTTATATTTTCAGAAGTGTTGATTCGTTAAACTTGCAGGCAAAGCAACCCAGATGTATGGCATCTTAGAAACTGGTATAACTGTATAAGCTTTCTTGGGAGGACTGTAGAGCACAAACGCTCATGTGATAATACATTTGTTAGCATTTAAAGTGTGTCTTGGCTGTTTGGATTCATGTAAGGTTAGAAGAACGCTTATTTGAAATGAAAAGCAGATGAAACGGACTGCACACATTCTTTCGGAAACAGTGTTTTATATCTGTAGTCCTCAAAAGAAAAAAAAAACAAAGGGGTCAGCAAACAACAAGTTTGCGGGGTGGAAGATGGTGGCTTTAGAATATCTAAAAGGTCTTCATTTAGAAAGAAAGAGACTGTTTTTTTCTAATGTTCAAAAGGGCAGAATTTAATCCAATCAGTGGAAACTCCAGAGAAAAAATTGGCTCAACATCTAAAACAATAAAAACTGTAAGGGAGTGGAACAAACTCTCTCTCTCTCTCTCTCTCTCTCTCTCTCTCTCTCTCTCACACACACACACACACACACACACACTCTGTGTATTTGTGTGTGAGGGGAGGGGATGAGCATTCATTCCTTCACTAGGAGAGCTTCAGTAGAAGCTGGATAGATATTTTGAGAAGGTTATAGCTGCATCCTGACTTAGGCTAGATCTGTTCTAATACTTTGATTCTAATATTCTACCCATACTACCTAGAAAACACAATCATGAATAAAGGGGGGTAGGTCAAGTGCAAGAAAAAGTTAGAAGTTTTGCAAATGAAATGCTGACTTATAAGAGGTAACCCTCCTCCCTTTTGATTATATAATACTATTAACAGATGCTTGGAATTGTAATCTTTTCAGCATGAATAGTGTTGGGCCCCAGAATAGGGAAAAGTCATTTTAAGGCCAGGAATGCCACTTCTAAACGAATATATCACCATCTTGTACTTGAAGGCATTCTTGGCTCACCCTCTTAGCTCCTGGGATGTTGGCGTATATAGTTGCTGCACCAATATTAGGACACTTAATATTACTTAGGAACTTCAAAAATAAAATATATTTTCTTTATATATATATATATAACAGTTTTTTTAAAACAAACAAAAACAGATATTTACATCTTTTCAACAGTTTTGCGTCAGTAATCCATATTTATACATTTTCTTATTATATCTTATATATATTTCTAATATATATATATCTTTATAATATATTATTCTAATTATTTTATTTACATTTGACATAAACTTTCTATATTTCTCTACCTCATTTAACCATTATTTAGTCTTCCTTTGTCTCCCCCCCCCCTTTCCTCCAACCATTTATACCATGGATAAGCTCACGAAGGAGATACAAAAAAAGGATGAAACAGAATACTATCTAGTCTGGGAGAGATGGTATAAATAGTTGGAGCAAAAATAAAATATCTTTTCATTTTTAAAGTTGGGAAAGGGTGTTTGGGTGAACAGGACCAAGCTTTCAGTTCCTGGCTGGCCTGCAAATGCTGATTGGCTGGCCGTTCCCTGCAAGATCTGTAGATTCTCAAATAGTGCCTTGATGCCTGAAAAGAGCCAAAAGTAGTTAACTTGTAGATCAACATTGTGTTTGAAAGTAGATTTAGAACAGTAGTGGGTTCTAAACTTACCTTCGCTACCGGTTCGAAATTGGGAGAGTGCACACTTGCTTCGCTCGCACGTGGCGCTTCTGCGCATGCACAGGGCATCTGTGATGACGTCCGGATGGGTAGGCGGAGCCTCCCGCCACCACCACTACCGGTTCACTCGAACCAGGGTGGACCAGTAGAAACCCACCACTGATTTAGAAGCATTGGGAAATGGAAAGGCTGAGGGCCTGAAAATTCATAAGTTTAACTTGGTTGTGATACTGAAAGTTTCTTGGTTTTGTGTGTTGATTTATAGTTTATTTCAGGATCCCATTGTTATTTATTATTTCCTCCTTGAGGCAAATAGAGCAGTCCGATGACAGGGCAACCAGAATAACGAACTAATTTTTTATTATGCATGTGTCACATCTGTAATTTCAGAATTAGAACACTGAATGCAAAAACTAATTAGGATGTCACAGGACAGACACCAGGAACTAGAATATGGCATCCTGTAGGTGTTAAATATACCTGTCACTGTGAGAGTGGGTTCAGCTCTATTGTCTATCACTGTGTCTTCTGGCATGTGTAATACAGATTGCCAACTGACCAAAACAACCTTTAGTTGTAACAGCAAGATTTGATTTACCGGAAGTAGCTAACAGTGGCTTTTCAAAATATTGGTATCAGTACATACCACATTTTTGTGCCTTCAAGTCATCGTTGACTCCTGGCAATTGTCTGGAGAAGTCCTTAAAGATTTTTTGGCAAGATTTTTTTAGAAGTGATTTGCTGGTGCCTCCTTCTTAGGGCTGAGAAAGAGTTAAAGATAACTATTGGGAAGAACATAATGCATATGAAAGCCTACGCTAGCTAAAGAACTGGCAGCTGTGACTTCACATTATCAACAGATAATAAATAATAATTTTGAATACTATCAGAATTAAAGAAATGTAGTATTGTTTGAATATTGAAGAGACTGACTGGAGAAGAGCCTAATGCTGGGAAAGATTGAGGGCAAAAGAAGAAGGGGATGACAGAGAATGAGGTGGCTGGATGGAGTCACTGAAGCAGTAGGCGTGAGCTTAAATGGACTCCAGAGGATGGTGGAGGACAGGAAGACCTGGAGGAATGTTGTCCATGGGGTCGCGATACTGACTTCTCAACTAACAACAATAAATATTGTTTGTAGACATTGTTCAAACGACTGCTCCTGGAATCCTATTATATTTGTTTTAATTTTTTCTTCTCTCTTTCCAAGGTATTGCTGTTTATTAGCCAAAGATGACATGATGATGATAACAAAATCAACTTTGCCTGAATTTCTTGCATTACATCTATTACATCTTCATGAATTGAAACCTTTAATGCAACAAAGGGTTGCATTAAAGTCTGAGCGGGGAAAATGTTATTTGATTTCAAATAGTACAAAGAGCTTTCCCAAAGTAGAAGTTGAGGAAGAGCTGGAAAAAGATAGAGGAAAATTTTTGCTGGTCTGGGGAAATGTATTTCTACCTTGCTGACAAGCATGTAAAAATAAAATACTGGACTATACATAATTGATTATTATCATTATGCATCATGCATTTATGAACAGAGATATATGAATAGGAAATCTAATCTGCAAAAAAGGCCATTGGCTGTACAATGACACTCAGAATAACATTATGTATATTCTTAAACTGCAAAAAATTCTCATTCCCAATAAAAATCACTTGGCACAAATCTCCTTGGTTTACAGGGAATGTAAAGGGATTTAAAAGATAAGAGAAGATGGCTTAAGCAAATCTTAGCCAGCGCTCTTTTAGCACCACAGATGATCCAGTGAGATCTTTTAAAAACAGCAACAACAAACACTGCAGCAATGATAGAGAGGAAATATGTTAATTCTGAAGTTTGGGGAGGGGCATTCCAAGGATGTTTTTGCTTGCCTGTCTGCCTACAGGCTGAATCACATCCAATCTCCTGGGAGAAGTCTGCCAGCTATTACTCTTTCCAAAAATTCAACTTGGCTTATACATCATGTGATGCTGGGACAAAACCCACCACAGGAATTTTGGTGCAGGAGGCAAACTTCAAAATGCCACACAAACAAGGACAATAATAGCATTCAAACTCTCAGTTTAAATTGGAACAATAATATTGAGCTATGTACCAGGTTGTTGGGAGGTAACAAAGTAATGAAGAGCAGATTGGTTGAGATACTCTTTAATTGCAATCTCATTGCCCAAGGATACGTGACCCACTGCTTGAAAGTACATATTCCTGCTGGCAAATCCCATGATGCACTCCAATCCAATGTTTGGTTTGGAAATGGGCATTTACGGGTAGGAGGAAAAAATCCCTTAAAGATAAAATACTGTGTGGGTGAATCTCCTCATTGATTTATATTTTAGTTTTATTTTTTTTATTTTTCATTTTTATTAAATTTCTATACTGCCCTTTTCCCGAAGGACTCGGGGCGGTGAACAGCCACAAGATAAAACACATAAATACAAAAATTTAAAATAAATTAAAAATGAATTAAATAATTTGGCTGAATTTAAAATACCCCATAATTTAAAAACAAATTAAAATTTACATTTAAAAAGGGGAGAAGATTTAGGCCAGGCCAGCTTGATGAAATAAAAAAGCGCATGACGGAAGGTGCGCAAATCCGGGATCCTCCGTATCTCCGGGGGGAGCTTGTTCCAGATCGTAGGTGCCCCCACAGAGAAGGCCCTCCCCCTAGGGGCCGCCAGTCGACATTGTTTGGCCGACGGCACCCAGAGGAGCCCCTCTCTATGGGAGCGTACTGGCCGGTGGGAGGCTATTGGTAGTAGCAGGCGGTCCCGTAGATAACCAGGTCCTAAGCCTCCTCATTGATTTATATTCTAGTTTGTCTATTTGCTGACTGACTACATTCACAATGGCAGCCATTTGGGGAATAATGCTCCAGTTGTAGATGTTTGCCTGCAGTCTCCCAAAATTGGTTAGAAGATGCTATTGTTCCTGGAACAGTTTACAGATTGTTTATTAGAAGTAGAGACAAGCTTCCAACATTGGAGGTGAATCTAGTGTTGGAATCCAGCCTTCTGCTCCCATTGCTAGTCTGTAAGGCTGGGCTTCCCAAATTTGAAAACCCCAATGATAATGGACCCTACTCTCTTAAATTTATTTTGCTACGGTGTACTGTGGCTAGCTGCACACTTCATCTCTGAAA